CTGCTGACATTTCCATTTTCCTTGGGTGTTGTCTTCCCAACAGGAGGGGCACCTCTCGATCTTGGTATTTCTTCTCATGAGCTTGGCCCAAGGTGGTATCATATAATCAATACCATATTTCCACAGGAAATATTTCAGGCACCAATCACAGTGACAACGCTCCAAACTAGGGGGATAGTCTATTGTCCAGTGAGGTATGCGTTCTCCACATTCATTACATCCCCAATAGACATCAATAACTTCATCGTCACTGTCATACACATGTATTCTGCTGACCTCTGTCAACTGGTAACGACAATGAGGACATCTACTACGTTCTTGTTCAATAAAATAATACATTCTCTACACGTAAGTCATGATTGCTAAAATGAGCACAGTGACCTCAAAGCAAAGATTTATATATACATGTATATCTGATGATGGCTATTTTTAACGTTAGCATCTCGAAAAAAAAACCAAACAACAACACAAAATTTTTTTTTCTCTCTCTAAGGTTTTATTCATATAAACAACAACAACAACATCTTCATCATATTAACAAACATTCAAAACTTTGGTGCAGTTCATTTTTGTTTTGGTATAGGAAACAATCTGCTCATGTACAAATATTCGGTTTCACTGACATAGTCTTACAATATACTCTCATTTTCTCTATCTGGTTTTAATTATTTATTTTTTGACTCCCAAATTAACTTGGTGAATTTGTCTTCTTGGTCGTAGGTGTATGATGCATCATGGTAGGACTAGGCATGATGTAACCTACTGAAGAACTGACACAGACCATCCAATATTCTCGATAAGGATCGTGTAAAGCTAACATGATCACACTGCTGATGATGAGAGATACACAGATGAATAATTGTGCAAAATATACAATTTCTTCTCGAGGAATATTCTCTCCACAAAATTTCCAATGAGGAGTTATTGGATTAGATCCGTTTGAGGAATCCATGAATCGAAACTAGGGGGATATCCTTTCCACCTGACTTTAACTCCTTGAATGACTTTTTTCCCGACTCGTCGCTTTTTATACCCCAAGATTTCCTCCACTTCGTAAACATCGTCTTTTTTAATGATCTGTTGTAATTCTTTCTCGTAAAAAGTGCCTTCTAATTCCTCACCGTTGTAATCTTGTACCCGATACACGTAAGGGTACCGACCGGGGACTCTTTGAGAAATGGTAAACAGTTCTGTAGTCCAGTTGGGTAAATATCCTTTTTCAAAAGTGCGTTTGGCTTTACTGATGCGCACCTGATCTCCCGTTTTAAATTTGGGTTTTCTAAGGGATTTTTGAGATTGCCCATATAAAGTTTTCCAGACTTTTAACACATTGGAAGGCTTCACTTCAGCTGGAGCTCTTTGGATACTGCGATGGAAAGTATGATTGTAAGCATACACTAAGTCCGGTAAGACCTCTAAATACCGCCTGGTTTTATGACGGGTGAAATAGCGCCACATGCGTGCTTTGAGAGTTCTCTGAAATCGTTCCACGATACTGGCTTTGGTTCCCGTATTGCGAGTGGTAAAGAAATGAATGGATTTAAAAGCCTGTAAGAATTCTCGATTGGTAAATTCTTTGCCTTGATCCGATTGAATGCGGACGGGGCGTCGACCGTCTTGTTGAAAAATCTCTTGTAATCCTCGAATCATTTCTTTTCCCGTTTTCTGTTTTAAAGGCACCACCCAAGCACATTTAGATAAGACGTCAATGGCACACAATAAAAACGTATAGCCGTCATTGTGTTTCTTTAAACTGGACACATCGGCTAAATCTAATTGCCATTGTTCGTCTATATCTGTCACTCTCGTCTGCTGTCTCCGAAATTTTCTGTGAATGGGTTTATGTAAGGTATAAGTATCTTGCTCTTAACCATTCTCGTATCTTTTTCAAGGAAATTTTATGTCCTAGACTTCTGACCTGACGATACAAAGCTTGTATTCCCCCGTACACTCTCTTGGGATTGTAATAAATCTCTTTTAAAATGTCTTCTACTTTCTTCTTCTTCATTTTTTAGGCAATGAAAGCTAATCTTCGTTGATTTGTTGTAATTTCTTCTTTTCATCTTGGGTTTTTAACTGCTTTTTAATTGCTCTAAAGGGACTGATTCTGGGTGTGAATGTTTTAACCACTCTTGATCTCTCTTCTGCAGGTCGACTAATAGGGGTTAAAAAGGAAGAAGAAGCATCCTGAAATCCGCTCTCTTCTTCATCTTCATCACTTAAGATCCCTTTAGGAGTACTGATTTTCCCTGGTTTCTGCATGGCTTTTATAAGGTTTTGGTTTTGCACGTAGTCCATGGGAGCATGGGTCTCTTTTAAAGCTTGAGCAAATTCATCTAATCCTTTAGAAACGGGATGTTTTTTCAGGGGTTTGTTTCTCATGTTTTCAGCCAATAAATCCACAATATTAGAATTGGGTACTTTATGACCTCGATAACTGATTTCTCCGTCTTTATCCCAAGTCAACACTTTGGTTTTCTTTAAATGATTTAATAATAATTCAGCTTTCCTTTGCATGGGTTTATTCACGCTTTGAATGATTTGTTGATCGATTTCGGAAGTGGTACCCGACTTTTCTGGTCCAGCTGCTGCTGGTGCTGCTGCGGGGGCTGAAGCTACTGCTGCTGCTGGGACTACGGGTGCAGGGGCTGGTGTTTTTGGAGTCGGTGGTTCTCTAGCTTGTTGTAAATAATTCCTATAGCGATAAAGTTCTTGACCATATAAAGCCACTTTTTCTTCTGGGGTTAAATCTTCACGCTGTGTAATCTCGTCCAATTCCTGACCTAGGCTAAGGGTGGTTTGAAATTCTGGGGGTTTGGGTAATTTTGCCTTGAGTTCATTCAACAGAACTTCAGGCACCAAGACCATTTTACGACTCATTTTAGGAGGTCCAAAAGTAAAGGGGCTGCTGCTGCTACTAACAGAGGAAAAAAACCTCCTTTCTGCTTGACTAATAAAGTTCGTCTTTTCTGAATGGATTGGGGTCGAACCAGTCTTCTGAAGATGTGTTTCTTTGGAGCTAGTTTTCGTTTCTGAGCCGAATTGAGAGGTAACACCCCTTTTAATAGGTTGTAGAGACAATCTCACAAATTTTAAGAATACAGTCTCCAGAACAATGTTTTAAAATTTCGGTTTTTAAGGAAGAGGAATAGTGAGGGTCCGATAACACTCTTAAAAGAGGGGCATGAGCTCTTAATCGTGTAGAACAACCCTCTTTCTTCTTCTTCTTAGCCATCTTTTATAACAATGAAGAAAGGTTTCCCATGTCACCCCCTTTTATAGTCTCTCTCTCTCTCTTAAGGAGGGGCATACCCCCCGTGTTTGTCGATCTCGTGTTTATCTCTACTTTTCTCCCTGACATAAATTTTTCCACAATATCGACATTTATATCTCATGCCTTTAGGTAGTTGAGGCGTCGTTGAGGGCATCAAGGGTTGATAGGAGAATGAATGGGGACTTTAATTCCAGGGGAGGGAATTCCCACATTCACTCGAGGAAATACTTCTAAATCACTGGCTCTTTGACTGCCTATGGGTCCCATAGTACGATCCATTCTCAGTTCTGCTTGTTTCTTTAACAACTCCTTCATCGTTTTTTGTCTTTGGTCCTTATAATACTGATTAATTTCTTGTTTCAGACTTTCGGGCATGGCTTTACGTTGAGCGAGAGTTTGAGGGGTGGATTTGGTTTTCACCGCTTTTTTCTTTGAAACTGTTTTTTTCTTGGGAGCTTTTCTCTTCTTCTTTCTGCTCTTTTGAGCTGCTCCTCCTACTCGCACCATCCAATCGGGAAACACTCTTTGTTTCTTATTATCGACTCGCACTACTACACTTTTCAAACGACGAACACGTCGTTTTTTAGGGCTATTCCACTTGAATAAATGACGAATGATCACTCCACCGAGAAACCCAGCTCCTCCGCGTTTTAAAATGGCATTTTTCCTATCTTGATCACTCGCCGACTGATCGGCTATGATACTTAAACCTTGACGATGATTATTAATAAAATTTTGGGTCTGTTTATTAATAGGTAGTACACCCTTCATTAAATTTCGAGCCCCCATGGCAACGCAATTCAATAAGGCTTTACGCCCTAATTCGATTAAATGGGCTCGCTTAGCGGGATCTCGTTCCCGCTGTAAACGTCGTAAGGTTCTCACTAATTTACTCTTGGCAGATGGAGCCATGATGATTGTTCAATGATGAATGACTAAGATGAGAGTGATACACTTTTATTTATACTCTTGAGGCATGTGTACAGTCAACATTTCAAACATTCGACTTCTCAATCTGTATTCGTCTGGGGTCTGAGGACTTAAGTCGACTAGTAAATATCCATGAGGAGGACTAGTGGCATCTTGATAAGCTGACATCAAATGAGGCAGGGCTAGTTGACGACTCAAGATACTGATCTGAGATTTATCTCTAGGGTTTTTAAATAGGACCAAATAATGAGCATTCAAACTAATAGTGCGATGGGAGGCTGCCCGACCAAATAAATTCTGAGTGATGTAAATCACACTGGTATTCCGATGATGGGCTTTACGGGTAAACCAATCCACAATCGATTCGATGGCTTTTCCTCCCATCATGTCGTCAAAAATGAGTAAGTGAGGAATACTTAAATTGGCCACTAATTTCTCATCGTCTTCAGGAATATTTCGAATGAAGGACACCCGATCTGTTAAAGACGTGTAAGCAGGTTGCCATTCTCGATAACACCAGACGATTTTTTGAGGCATGGGGGTGATCCAGTGTAAATTGTTCACCAATTTCTTGACAAATTCTGTTTTCCCCGATTTAGAGGGCCCTGCAACCACCATGGTAAATTCGTGTTTCAGTTGAAAATAGGGGAGGGGTGTCTCCTGCGAATACATGTTGATCAATGAAGGAAAAATGGGGTTCAGGGGTCTATTTATACTTAACACAGCAATTAACTTTTTATTTCTTTTACCTCGATCGTATAAAAAAAACAACACATCAAATTTTTATAAAACAATTTTAATAACCATAAGGCAAAGTGTTATAATTCTTTACAATTTGTCTTTTGTCATACACAATTCTATATTGTTTTTCTAAAGGCATGGTCTTGACTTCATGGTGACGGGTCCTTTGTATTTTGTAGGGATAGGAGACCTGGATTTCATCTATTTCTTTCTTCAACATTTTTTCTAAAGTCTCTGGAGACACGATCTGGGAGGCCCGATAGTTCAGAGTCAATCCTTTGACTTTGCACACAGATTTTCCTTTGGCTGTGACGTAAGCATAATTTTTAGGCCCTCCCGACATGAATTTAATGATGCGGTCCCCATCTAATTCGTCCGTCCATCCTCCCAAACTGTTGACAATGGTAGGGTTAAAGGCTCCCTCCTTATGTTGATAAATGATACTGTCGGTATCGAAATACAGAGTCCGCTCTCCCAAGGGCTGTAAAGTTTCATACAGATGCAAACGAGCGCGAGCTGTAGTGAAACAGGCCAACACTACGTTTCCAAAAGGGCATTCCTCGACGAATTCCTGTTTCTCCTGGTAATTCACCAACATCATGTCTGCATCTGGGTTGTCTGTATTTTCCAACAGTTCTACTCCTTTGATGTCTAAAGTAGAGTATTGTAAGAGTTGCTGTAATTCCTCTTCTTCTGACAAGTATCGAGTTTTGGGTAGGAGTAGGCGCTGGGCGAATTTTCCCCACAAACAATTTAAAAACAATTTAGCAATGGTCCTCAGCACTGGATTTTTTTCAATCTTCAAAGGATCCATCATGATGCCTTCTGGATTCAACACATCATAGATATATGCTCGTTTCTGTTCCTCCGTCTGACAGTCGGTCGGGAATCCAGAGACCTCTTGCTTGATTTTCAAAAAAGTATCAATGTATTGTCTAAATAAATCCTTACTGCTTTTAGGGAAATGCCATACTTCGTAGATACGGTCCAGTTTGTACCCCATGTCTAAAGCTTTGTGTAGTTCTGTCGTCACCTAGGTCCCCGTGAGACTGCGTTGTTGGTCGTTATGTCGACATGAATGGCTTGAGGTAGGGTCTTGATGTTCGGCACACGTTCGACATAGAGGAAACAGTAACTTGCCTCCCGTCAGGTAAGGTAAGACGGGATGATAGAGACCTCGTGGCGGTAAGACCCGACAGTGGATCAGGCCAAAATAAGTTCTCACTTCTTGAAAATTCTCAGTAATGACTTCAGGGTGGCCCACTGGAAATGGCTTGTGTTTTAAAACGTAGGGATACAAGGAACAGACGTCCACGTATCGCATGTCCCCTTCCTGGCAATACAAGCGTGTAGCATTGGTTCGGCCTCCGTAAGGGCCTGGCGAGGATTTAAGGGATCTTGAAGATCCAGGTGTTGTAGGAAAGACTGTATATTCACTTATCTTTGTACTTGTTGATCGAATTCGTGCTCCCATATACTGTGTACGGTGTACCCCATTTCCTGTAAGACTACACTCCGTCTCAGGGTTTCTTCGTATAATTCCTGATACGTAAAGTTTGTACGATGTGGATGAGTTTCAGTCTTTAGATTCGGATAACAGGTGGGGCATCCGTGCCAATAACAGCCGTAAAATTCGTACACAGTACGGGTGGCTTGCTCGTATCCGTCTACCATATACTTTCCTATTTTCACTTCTCCCCCGTTTCTAGCGTGTCGAATCACTTGGCCACCCTCGTGAGACATCCAGTGAAGCCAACGACAGGCTTTGATAGAATATTGACGAGCAGGCTCATAACCCAGATTTGGAATGATAGCAATGGTATTTTTGGGCATGAATCCTCGACGATAGGCTAAATTGGCGGCACTGGCAAAAGTGATGGATTCCTGAAAGGGGTCCACTTTGACCAGGCTCTTGAGTGTGCCCCTAAACTGAGCACAGCATCGTCGCAAGATATCCACGTCGGAGATACAGTACTCTAAAAATTCTTTCTGGAAATCAAACACTTTTCCTTCTTGTTGTTTGTACCATTCGTAAAAATCCTGTCGTCCGGCCGTAGACATGTCGTCTGGATTATAGTAAGCCGCTGGCGGGTAAGGTCCCACGTAATTCTGGTTCTGTTCCGTGTTGAAAAAATGGGGAAAGTATCCTTTTTGAGTTCGGTGAACCCAAAAGCTGAAGGCATCTTAGCCAGAGCAAAGGGTAAAAAATTGTACGAGTCCAGGAATTTCAGTCCACAGATCTGCATGGATAAGATCTTACTGCCATTCATGATGACTGTAGGTTTCATACAGGCCGTATGCACCAAGTAATTCAAAATAAACTGACCGTCGTAGCCTTTAAAATTGTGGGCAATGATGACAGCTTCGTCGTGTAACAAGGTGGAATTCTTATTTCCTGTATCGGGTTGTAATAACCAGTTCACGAACTGCCTTAAGGTCTCTGGTCCTTGAAACACGTGTTGACGGGATCCCATGTGTCGACAGTGAGGACAGGGATCTTCTACGGGTAAGTGACCGCAATGTTGACATACACGGTGAGCCACACACAGATTAGGGAGGTGAATGCCGTTTTCCTGGGTACATTCGAAATCAAAATAGATGTAGAACTGTAAGGTGTCTTTGCCCTTCTTCTTTTTTTCTGGCTTGAGTTGAACGTAGCACTGATGATCGGTGTCTACGGTTTTCTTGCAAATCTTACATTTTTTCTGTCCTCCACACCGGTGATGAGCGAGTATTGTTTTACCCATCCATTTCTCACAGTGCTCGCATCGGCCCATTAAATTGCACACAGTGGTTGTGGTATTTTTACTGTAAGGCCGTAAATGATTCTCGTAGCAAGTCCTGCTTTTAAATAAACCCTGGCATTCGTGACATTGAATGTGAGTCCCGTCTGGAGCACAAGGGGTGTTTGTTAAACAAAAGGAACAGCGATGAGGGCACTGGGTCCGATGGTATTCAATATGACTGTAGCCCACATCGCAATGATCACAGTAATATTGGTTGCCCGTCACTCCTGGCATAGAAAGGATGGCATCGTAATGCTGGTCGTCTAACAAAACATTCAAACAAGTTCCGTCTCCGTAGCCTTTGTAAACGGGTTCTAAACAGAGTTTAGAGGATGTAGACTTGAACAGAAATACTTTCAGTCTATAGTCAGGGGCTAACACTTGTTGTAGCTTCGTCCACTCTGCAGGCCCACAGGGTTGATTTGTATCACACCCGGCTTGTTCCATGAGTGCTGTGGCTTCCCGTTTCTGGTCTAAGTATTTATCGCCTTTCCGCATACGTAATCATTATTTTTCCCATTCTGGGTCGGGGTTTTCTGGTTTTTGACTGTGTAAACGGGCTACGACTATGGCTCGCGGTAGACACAAAACATCCCAAGGATTCTCGATCTGAATGATAGATCGTTTCCCCTTCTTGAAACTCTCCTTATTCACTTGTAGATGTTTCGTATTTTGTCCACCACTTCCTTCCGGATATTTGACATGAAACATGTCGAATTCCACAGCGCCGTCCGTGATTTTAAATCCTTTTTGGATTGTTGCACGGCTTTTATTTTGTCTAAAATCAGGTCCTCGTTGAAATGTTTACATTGGGTAAACTCGTACCAAATGTCTGAATCCAGAGACGGGTGACGAATATTCAGCCGTAAATAATCGTTGGGATTACACTGCATCTGATATTTCACGTTGTCCAGCATGTCCCGGAATAAACGGCGAATAAATCCTCTGTGGAAGTTCCTTAAAACTGATGATGTAAACATCTTCTTTGGATTTGAATTTCCTGGAATGACGGGCCTGATTCAATCGGATTTTGTAGTATTCCGAAATTAATTTCGGTTTTGGCTGTTGTTGTTGTTCGTGCGCTGGAGAGGAAGGTGGTGATGGTAGGTTTTCTTCCTCTTCCTCTTGTTGTTGAGCTGTCCTTGATCTCTGTAAGCTTCGTAAGAGCCGTGCATTTTGTCTGCGTAATTCCCATTCTCTTCTTCTTTGTCTACGAATAATAGCTTCTAATTCCTTTTCTCTTCTTCTCTGTCTTAATCTCTGTTGTGCTGCTAATAATTTCTTAATAGCACTGTCGAAATCCATCTGTATGACAATAAGTCTGGCAAACAAATGAGCTTCAATGCCTCATTAACACAGTTTTTATAGGTACAGTAAGACTCGTTTAGTACGAACACAGATATTGCGAGTTTTACCGTAAAACGACGTCATAAACGTCTAGAATGTGATCGCTGCCTATTTGATGACGTCATAATGCTCTATGCAGTCTAGGCCATTCATTCTGGATCCTTCTCCATCATTTTTATTTTATGACGTCACAATGCACAATGCATAAGTCTCTGCATCGGCATATTAGTTCTGGGTCCCTCTCGATCATTTTAAATGTTACTTATTTACTGCACGTGCTCTTCATGCTGAAAAAAAGTTCTCGATCCTTCTCGCTCATACTGCATCTGCACGTGCTGCCTTAGTAGTTTTTAAAAAAAAATATGCTGACTCTGCCCAAAAAAAAGTGCACTCATTTGACCCCCCATCCAGGCGCTCTATACTACTTACACCAGACCGCATTGATTGACTTACTCCCTGAGGAACTTACCTATATCACATATATATTCTTAATATTCTTAATATTAACATTAATTTCCAATCTTGTACTTATCTTGTATTTATAGGGGGCTGTATACTGTGTACTTGGGGTGGATGGTTGATTTAAAACATACCTGTGTATGTTGCACCATTTTTTTTTTTTCATTTTTTTTTTATGCTTTGAGACAATTTTGGTTTCTTTTTCATGGAATTTAATTTTAAGGAGTCAGATATAAAACAAATGAAATTCAAAGAAGGTGGAAAGACCTCTTATTGTTCTGTGAACAATAAGTCTCCTAGTTTTGGATTGATTTATGTCTTGGATAACTACATTATTGGAGTCCAGGTAAGAAATGTTAATAAAATAGCCATTTACTGACAATTTGAGACGAAATCCGTGAGGGAGCGAATCGCTCCCGCAGCTACACCATTACGGAGATCCTGAGGAGTTGCAGCCCTCTCCCAACCCAAAAAAGGGAGGGCTACATTATTGATGCTAGTATGTATAGCAAGTGTATCAGTACTTCCTGATCCATTGACCTTCCTTAACAGTGCAGGCCAGATGATTTACCCTTTGGGATAGTGGAAGTTGAATCAGAGATACAAACAATCACGTCAAAGCTAGTGATAGACGAATCAATTTTATGGCGGTGTTGAAGTCCGATTCATGAAAGAGGAAAGTACCTAGACTGCCTGACACTCCAGAGAGGACCCCTTTTACACTGGGAAGCCCATCAACGTCTGGGATAATAATAGCAGAGGAAATGAAATATCAGAAATAGCAGGGGAGGCACGAGAATCGATGGAGGAAGAGTAGCAAAGACACGGGAAGAAGAAATAGAGGAAAAGACGCCAGAAGAGCAGGTTAGCGAGAATCATCAAAAGAAGTGTCAGCTGATACCACTGAGAAGGGAAACAAGAAGCTGACAGAAGTAGAAATGAAGGAAACAGAATATGCTTCTCAGCATACACTTGCAAAAACTTCCGCATAAATTTCCAACCATATTGTATTCAAAACTGTTCCTAAATAAACACAATCTAGAAAGTTACTCTCGAATCTGCTTAAAAAATAAATTTCCAACCCGATTTTATTCAAAATTGTTTCTAAATAAAAACAATCTAGAAAGTTACTCTGGAATCTGCTTATAAAATAAATTTCCAGACCAACTGTATTCAAAACTGTTCCTAAATAAACACAATCTAGAAAGTTACTCTGGAATCTGCTTATAAAATTGATAAACTGTTGACTTTAAATATTCCACAAAATCATCTTTCTTTGTCTTCAGACATACAGGAGGACAAACCTAGAAACATTTTCAATGTTGATGGAACAAGATTTTGAAAAACATAGCCGAGGAAAGGTTCTTACGGACAAGACAAAAAAAATCACACTCGAAATATTTCTCGATGT